CTCTCTCTCTCTCTCTCTCTCTCTCTCTCTCTCTCTCTATCTATCTATCTATCTATCTATCTATCTATCCATACATCCATATCTATCTCCCCCCCCTCCCTCTGTCTCACCACCCACCCTCCCATCCACCCATCTCTCTCTCTCTCTGTGGAACCTCATTCCAGAGAAGTGGCCTTACTACAAAGAAGAGACATTTCTGGGGTCCCAATAGATGACCTTGCTCAATCAAAGGAAAGCAGAGTTTGCCAACCCTATAAGATAGAAATAGTTGGGGAGATAATGTGGGAGACAGGCAAGTTCCTCGAGGAACCAGGTCCTACACCGGAACAGAGATGGAATCAGCTGCCTTGCTCGGTCTTCCATCCGTGCCCAGATGCAATTCACATTTGGGCATCACAACAGATCTGCCTCTGAGGTCTGGATCTCCTTATGGATACTCACCTCATCGCAAGTGACGGGTAGGCCAGGAGAAGGCTTCCTCCTAAGATCAGATGGGCTTTGCTCACCCAGAGGAGAGGAGGGTAATCTAGATAAAAGAAAATGTACTCTTTTATTCTTATCAGAAAGCGTTGTCAAAGTTTTGGGTTACTCATAATGCTTTTCGTTTAAAAGCAAAATAAACGCATTACACCTAAACATATCCCTTCTATTGCTTGTTTTGACACGAGAAGATCTCCATGAAACTTCTCAATCACTTCAAATTCTACACACGGGGAGTCATTCCAGACAGGGCTCCACTATGACACAATCAATATGATACAATTAAACAGAACCGATTATAGAAAGAAAGGGCATATTGTAACCACTGAGTAAGAGGTAAATTACAAGCTTTACTTGTAACTGTTGGAAAGGAAATCAGACTTTTTTGTCTCTCTTCTTCTTTTTCTTGACTTTCTTTTTCCTTTCATTGCACTTTTCTCTAGTTTCTTTTCCTTTCTTTTCTTACTTTACATTAGGTTTTGTTCATTTGTATATTGTATACTGTTTTAAAAAAATCATGGATGGATGGATGATATAGATAGATAGATAGATAGATAGATAGATAGATAGATAGATAGATAGATAGATAGATAGATAGATAGATAGATAGATAGATAGATAGA